AGTCTCATTCTAAAGATTAAAAGCCAGAAATACAGAATGAATAAAAGGTAATTTTTCACATTCAAATCTTCTACTTTATCTTTTACAGTTTTCAAGTATTGAAAGCCAGTTTCCTCATCATGGCTTTTGGGGATGTGTAAACACTGGCCTCTACCTCTGTAGATAGGAAGATCTCCCTGCTCTGTCCCTGGAAACCAATACCTCTGCTCTAAAATGAACTTTGTTAATTTAATAGAAGCAAATAAAAATGAAATATTATTAAATATATTATTCTTTGGAATAATCATCACAGTGAAACAGAGATTAGGAAGAAATAGTTCACAAGTACCTGAATGTGCTGTGTCTTTTATCCAGTGTCTATTTTTATAAAAATTCTATAAAGAAAATTTGACCCAAAATGTCTAAAACTCACTGATTTGTAACAAAATTTTTACCTTTGTTACAATTTGCTCTGTACTAGTTTTGTCCACAATGTCTCAGTCAATATATTTACAATCGCTGGGATATTTCAATATCACTGTTAACAGAATAAATTCTCTCAAGCACTAAATTTCTACATTTGCTCTTAGAGCACATGGGTTTTGAGTCATAGTGAAGGCTGTTTTCCCAACTCTTCCTGGAAAACTTTGTCTTGGATACAGCCCACAGGTTAATGCAAGGTCGTGTGCTGTCCTGTTTCAACCAACTCCATGCATAGAATCACACTGCAATATAGAAGAAAGCAAACCTTTTATTTTCTGTCAATTGAAATATCTTGAAGGAACCATAAAAATCACAGGACACAACTTGCAGCTCTAAAGCCTATAAACATGTCATTGGATTGACACGTTGGGAAGTCAAACATAAATGGAATACAAAACTCTGCACCAAGGCACTGTGTACACAAAGCATTTAGCTAAAGGAAACAAAAGGATTGGGAAACTCCAGAGAAGTAATGTTGCTGTGACAGTGATTAAATCTTTCAGGGGTCTCCTATGAATACTGTGATGAAAAACAAGCACCTACAAGCAGAATTTACAGCTCTGCTCCATAATTAGTCATCTAAAGCTTCAGAGAGTTAACAACTGAAAGTTAGTTCATTTCAACTCCAAACCTGAAAGGAAATCTTTAGTCTGTGGTTAGAAATACACTGGCAAAAACTAAACCTTGATTTATCAGTTTTCCTTATTTATTTATTATTTAGAAGACTGCCCAAGAACAATGTTAATAGCATTTCACTGACAAAGGAAAAGATTCTACTGAAAGTAAAGGAATGCAAGAGGGTACCTACACTAGATTCAAAGAAAAAGTTACACAGAATTTCAAGCTGCTGAACAAACACAATACGTCTCACATATATACATATATATACATACAGACACACACAAATCTGGTAATTTTTATTTTTAATTTATTTTTCCCTGAAGTAAGCTTAATTCTTTAATACAAAATTTTCTACTGAAGTAGAAAAATATACGTCTTTTTTAAAAGTAATTCTGTTTAATGCTTTCAGAAGTGTGCTACAACAAAGGCAAAGAATTCTTCCCTCCCATATTATATGAGCAGAAGAGAAGGTTTAGAGAATTTCACTGGAAGTAGTAAAATCCTGAAATAATAAATTCAACTGAAATTAGCCATACATTTATCTTTCTGTCATGAGTCCACCTGGGACAGTAACAGTCTGCTTCTTGCATGCTTCCAACCACACACAGAGAGTTCCAGAAGGATGGGAAGACAAGGCAACAGCAGCACAGAAAAACATTCATTCACAGCAGGAAAGAAGCTGCATTCATCAAGCAGCATTCCCTCCACCTGCTCCCTGGAGACACCAGAAAGCAAATTCTATCTATTTGATGTAAGAGAGCTACTATTAATGACACAGTAATAAAGTACAAAAGGGTCTAGCTTGCAGATTTCACATGTCAAGCTAGTAAATTACAAGCTCCTAGAACACAGGCAAAAAAGGAATCTTAACAGTCATGTGAGGAATGAAAATTTTAAGCTGGCATTACATGTGTATTTCTGAGATTTAAGGTATCAGAACCTTTACTTTCTTTGTAGAACTCAGTAACTTGGCTGGCAACATTCTCCAAACCTTACTAAGGTACTTAAAGCACCAGTAGGTGACAAAGTTATATCCTTCCTGAAATCCTATATGGTAAGATTATACTGGGCAAAGATCTTTCTTGTAAATTAACTTGGAAGTCTAGAAGTAATATTTCCCTGTTAATAATGAACGGTTTCCATTTCTTTTATACCAAGTTTAGTACTGTAGGCGAAGAGTGAACATTCCAATTCACGGTTGCAGATTTTAGGACATACACCTCTAATTATCTATTCTTTTTTCTTGTTTATGAAGGCTGATTACTACTAATAGCCATAGCTTGCATAAATGATATGAGCCCTCTGCCACACAACTGGGCATTTATTTTTGCACTTCTTAACTCATTGTTTTTTATGGAGTCTCTTTCACAACAACACTTTAGATCCCACACCCATGGCTATGTAGTTTCCTTACTATTTCACTGTAAAGCACTTTCTCACATGAATTTTTGAACATGTCAAGTATTTTGCCATAACCAGATCTTTGTTGACAAGAATTATGGAATATAAGAAGTAAAGCAAAATGCCATTCTATGATAATAATCTTTAAGAGGTCTTGAATATCTGAAACATTTATTTTTAATACTTTCCAAAGTGTCTCGTTTATAAGAGAAAAAATTTATTAAAAAATGCAAATTGGAATATAACAAATATTCAAGTTACAATCATGCTGTATTCTCTTTTATTACTAGGGATATCAGTTCCTACTAACATGATGATCTATATATACGTGGTGAACCCACTATTCAGAAAGACAATACACAGAGAACTCCAGACCAATAAACACACATTATTGAAAATATTTATTGTATTCAGCATCAGAATTCTATCAATTTAAATAAATGCAATGCCCAGAGAGTAGAATCAGCAATGGGTTTTTGTGTGTGATTCATGTTATTATGTGCAGTATATTCCACATATTTTCTTCACAATCACAAAGTTCTTTTATCTCATGTTTCGTACACACTTGCTTCCATATTTCTTCTAACTTTTCACCTGAAACGTCCATGCCAATGTTGTGGAGCATTTGTGCAATCTACAAAAATTATATAAAATAACACAATTTATGTAATTCTGGTCAACATTTTGTTAAACTATACTGAGTCTGACTTTTACATATATTAGTAATCTATTTGCCAAAAAATATTTTCCCACTCTTAAATAAAAACTACAGATCACATTCTGCTTCCTTAACCAAAGAAGTTCCTATTTAAGTAAATCTAAATCTTATTGTGACGAAAACTACACAACATTGCCTGTATTAATGTTGGTGCACTGCTTCAACATTGGAAAAAAATCACACACAGAAGACTCAGGGGAAAGTAAACTTTTTTTTAAAGCTCTAAATAAAGTTCTGTTTATCCACTGTTTTTTGCTGTTTGCAGTTATCAACACAAATCAGGTTATATATCATCTGCATTTCACAGCAAGATCATCAGCTGGTATAGATAAGCAGGTGAAGTGATTAAAATAAAATGGTTCACATTAACTTTCGGCCTTGCTATAATTTTACATCAAAGTAATTCAGCAAATCGTGGGGTTTTGCATATTTTCTCACTTGAATGCTTCCTGCTGCATGCCTCATTACACTGACCTGTTGACTCATTAGAGAAAGGTAACTTTAGAAGAATATTGACATGACTTATGTGCTTCTGTTAGTATTAGCAAACATTTGGCCTCTTCAACTCTATCATGAATGTGTGTATGCATGTGTATTATTTTTATGCATGCTCTGATAAAGTAAGAGCTTTAGCGAAGTCAAATCAACCTTGTTGATCATCTTTCTCTAAAGCTGTCTTTTGTATAAACACAAGCCTTATCCCCAGTACAGCAAATCTTCAGCTTCATCTTAGCCAGCAAATCTATGAGTTTATGCCATCCAAAATTGCAGGAGGAAAACAGGGACTGAATTTTGTTTCTTTAAGCAGAGGTGTCGTTTCAGTTAAATCAATAATAGTACCCATGAGTAAAATAAATCAGATTTGATCCAATGTCTTCAATGAGCTAGTGACATTTAAAAGCAATATTCCTTCACAGGAACACTGCAGGGACAATAAAGGACTACATGCTCCCATAATTTGGCTTCACCATATTTAAAGAGAGCTCTGTCCTGACTTACCAACTGCCATAAAATGATCACTGACCAAACTATGGACTGTCACATGTGTAGAGAGGGTTAAAGTGACCCTCATATATTATTGATATGATCATACCAAATATAAATTACACACTATTACTCAATTGCATAACTTATATTCTCTTCAGCAGACTGGATTACAGTGAAAAAAACAGCAAGCCCAAGAACTATTTTGTTCTTTTGTAACATGATGAGTCACCCCAGGAAACTGTTTTATAGCCAGAATTCACATTCATTTCTAAAGTTCTATACAAAACTTGGTAGTATTAAATTACTCTGGGCTTTCATCTAATAATAATATCATATGATCATAAAATAACTTCATTAACTATGACATTTTGAAAACATTAATTATACATATAAAAATAATAATAATAAAATGCCAAAACAGTCCATTTCATAAACATGGGGTGATTTAACAGACTCAGAGGTGGTTCTGCACTGAATTCTGTATAGTCAGTATAGTCTACAATAGAGTACGACATCTCAGGACATTTATAGCTTCAAAAGAGAGCTCTATCTAGTGCTTGAAAGATGTAATTGGCCTCTCAATCAAGCATGAATTCTATTTACTGTTAGCTATATGCTGTATGCATCTATTTCCTCTTTCAGAGCTGGATTATAAAATGGTTCATGTACACAACATTCTGACAAGGTGTTTTATGGATATGCATAGGACATGACACCACATCTTTCACGCCCAGCCACTAACTAGCAACATTTTTTTCTGTAAAATATATATTCAAGTCCCAGATCTGCTTTCAAGCATGACTGAATATTTAATATAATGAGTAGCAGAGAGGGAGAGGTTGCCAAGGCTTCTTTTCTCATTTTAGATTGGAATTTCACATTTCATTGCAATTGTCTCATAAATTTTACTTCAGCTAATGAAGTTATCTCTAATATTTTTTCACTATAAATAGCATACAAATGTATAAGCAAAAGAGTAAACAATACTGAAGAAGAAGAAGCAAATTTGTTTTAGTATTTATGTGAGAGAACTTCTGGTCTGTGAGAAAACAGAGAGGTAGCAGCCTGCAGAGATATCAGAAAGAAAAGTCCCTACAGTCTCATGTCCTATCTTCATCTTCAGAAATATGAGACAGCACAGCATTGCTGTGTGACTCCCAATGTCCTCTATCACTGTACAAGCTCTTTGAAGAACTGAGCCTATGACTGTGACTCAGCAGAGCACCTAAAAGGTATGTTCAAGAGGTTTCCCAAATTTGTCATTAGCAAAACCTGCCAAGTTTGTTTGAGGAGAGATACTTTGGGTAAAATTTTACACTGAACACCTCTCTGTGATAGAAATTATTTTTATGTACCTGTAAAAATTTTCATTTGGGGCTTTTTAAGTCATCTCATAGAATATAGAATAACTTTGGTTGGAAGAGATCTCTGAAGATCATCCATACAACAACATAATTAAAGAAGGGCAAACTTTGCCATTAAACCATGTTGCTTGAAACCCTGCTAAGAAATTGAATATTTTGGGTCTCAATAAAATTAATATCTACCATCTTTATGAATAATTTAGAAAGTGAAGAGTGCATATTTTTCAGATAATTAAATGAATATAAAGAAAGATAGTAATCTTGCAACAATTAATTTTACAACCTATTTCTTTGATAACATGACCTTCCACTTCCACATGGCCAGAAGAACAATTATCCTGGAAGAATATGCTGAAGAAATTCACTATACCTCTGCCTTTGGTCTCTTTTTTAAAAGCTCTCTTTCATGCACTCCGTTTTGACCGAAGACAGAAGGGAACAATAATGCAAAACTACTGCCCTGGTCACCATAATTAGTTGTGTCACTGAGGCGGCGAATTCGAGGAGCAGGAATATCTGAACGAATAGTTGGAATACCACACATTGGATAACCTGCGGAAATCAAACAGCATGGAAAAGCCTGTACATAAAGATAGTGCCAGGGAGGATAAAATATTTTGTATTAAATAAGAAGAAATGTGATGCTTCATCTCACACAGGTTCAATAACAAGTCCTGTAATTTTTTCCTTGTATCTTTTTTCACATTTTTAGAAATCTTGGCTTCAGCTACGTCATGAAGCATGAAAACAGGGAATCTTGCAATAATATTCTATTGCTTATCTAGTATTTCTTGCTGAAAGTATCTGAGGTGTTTCCAAGAAGTTATGGTTCTCCTAGAATTACTAGCATAATTTCTCAAAAACATCTAGATTAACTTTCATGTTTTGAATAGATTAACCATTCCAACTTCCAAGTCACAACCTTAAACAAACTTAGTTTAGAAGTATTGCTATAGGTTCTACTAAGGTACAATAGTGAATTAATTTTTTTAAACTTTGCTCCTGATTTTGTCTTAAAGAATGCCCAGAAGTGAGAAGCACAGTCCAGTGTACTTACAGGACAGTGGAAGACCACCCACTACAGCATTATACTGAGAAGATGTTGTTTGATAACTTGCAAATACACGGTCTGTTGGTTTTGTAGGCGGTTTTGGTGTCTTTTCTGAGCTTTCTGGTTCTTTTAACATGAGATCTTCCTGCTTCACCTGTGGTTCATCTTTTCTCTGTGTGTCTTCAGGAACAAGACAGGCACGTAATTTTTTCCCTATAAAAAAAAGTTATGGTACGGCCAGGATATAGTATCAACACATTATAGACTAAGAGGTAAAAAACATTGCTTGAAGAACTACAAAGTAGGTAACGTAATTATTCTGCATTTCTGCTAATGATTCTAAGAGATGTTTTAATTTCTCCTGATCTACAGTATTAAGGAAACTTCCCAGTGACAATCTCAACATGCAACAAAGAACTTCAGGGTTCTGAAATGCATCTGTACCTGAGGCTCTGCTCGTAGTAAGCAAGGTAAATGTACTCTCTAAATCCTACCCTTCTGAAGGAGTACCTAGTTTACAACGCAATGTCCCTTCAGCAGCTGTTCTACAAAGATCATCCCCACAAGTTCCCGGTATTAAGGCATCTACCTTTTGCAATTATTTTTTCTTCAAACTCTTTAACAGCTGTTTTGTTTTTCCAGTTCAGAAAGCTTGCAAACTCCAGATAATTAATCAGACCATCTTTATCCAAATCACAACAGTCAAATAAGGAATCCAGGAGCTCATCATCTAGATTCAGATTAACCTGAAAACAGGACTTTCGTAGATTGTCCTTGTCTATCATTCCATCACCATTCTATTATAAATAAAATAAAACAGTTGTTAAATTCTATGATTCTATAACTGCCATTATAAAATGACTCTGCCAAAAGGAACACATACATGTGTTCATACAGATATCTATACACAAATAGCACCAGACACATCATTTCAAGAACAGTACCATTGCTCAGAACAAAAATAAACCCTAAGTAATTTAGAAATTAGAAATCTGAATATAAAAGTGTCATAAAGTAATTTTCAACTTAATACAGTGATTTGAGAGTAAAAGTGTGATATAGTATTATGACAACGTAACAATCTAATCATAAATGTTGGGGAAAAGTTAAGATGTCTTTGAAAGTAAGACATCAATCATTCTGTATACGCTACAATTAATGTTACACATGAAATGTCAATCTCATTTTTTTTCAGAGAGAAAAAAAAATAGATATGAAATTCTGATGGCTGGCAACTCAATCAAAAAGTACATCTTCGAAGAAAATATGAACATAATCCCTTCAAACTCCTTTCCCTTTAGGGAGAAATGCAAAATTTTGATGTGTAAAAATGCTCACATGTTCCTTGCTCACTCTAACGTGGATTTTTCAAATACTATTGTGAATTGCTCCAAATACTATTGTGTTTAATTCAATAGCATATCACAGTCGATTAAACACACAATAACTATGAAGTTATCTTGTCTTTGTATTCTTCACCTATATTTACCTCGCTATGCTTATGTTTCTTAATGGCTGTATCTCCATAGCACAGGAGCACTAATGTCACACATTCCTTTACATTTATACTTTTTCAGAGCACTAACCTTATCATAATGTCTGAATGCTTCTAGCAACACATCAAAATTCTCATAGTTAGCTTTCTTCAAACTCTGCCGAACTGCAATCAAGACAGCTTTTTCTCTGTCCTTACCACGGAGGAACTCACATGGAACACGGACATGAAGAAGATCATAAATTCCTATAAAAATGAACAGTTCCTCAATTAGTTGTGCATATACTGAAAACAGACATAAAAAAAAAATGTTTAAGTTTTTAAGGAAAAAGAGAACTTCAGTTTCAAGAGGCTGATTTTCAGCACTGCTGAACATCTGATACAGCCGTTTCATTACAAGATCAATGGCCCGTATAATGATTTCTCTACTCACATAGTTAATATCAAAAATTTTGAAACATCATAATGTAACTTCATGAATCTATCCACTGCTTCCAAAAGCTTCTGACAGCAGTAGGAGTTACTCAAAGTCCAGATAATTGAGAAAAAAAAGAACATATATTAGTAATCTACCACTTCCAGTCTGTCGTGTTCCAGATACTTACAAGATCCAATGTAAGATTTCAGATAATTATATATCACTGGTTTCAAGAAAGAAAATGTACTATTTTTATGTTACTGTTCCCATTTTCTATGTATCCTAACTTAATTAATATTTTTAAACACTTTGGCACACTGAGCTACAATCTTCATCCAAATGCCCAGGACACCGAGGTCACTCTCTAGAGTGCAAGAAGTTCATTCAGAGTCCAGCAACAAACACGAGTAGCTCACATAATCGCCTTCTCACAGTAATGTATGTACATTTTTTTCTACTTGTTAACAGTGAATAATTTTTTTTCAGTTCCTTCTGCTCTCATGGGACATCATACCTACACATTTAAAATATTTAACTTTATTACACTACATAGCAATAAATGTATAAAAGCTTATGCACTCTTTCAACAAGCTTTCTCTGGCTTTAACTAATTTAATAACTTTGAGCCGCTTAGATTTTTTGCTTCCTAATTATTGACTGTATTCCCTAGTTATTAAACACAATGTTAAAACAACATAAACCCCAAAACTGACTATTGGAGTTGACAAGCTTTCAAAATTTTGTCATGATGAAAATTCATAGTTTTTTTATTTTTACTCTGCTTTCCATCTCTCTGCAACCTTAAAAAACTTATTATTCTTATTTATTGCTTATTATTTTCATTCTTTTTAGAGAAGTGCTGGAAAAATCATTGTGAAGGAAGACGCATCACTGATTTAAATAGTAATTTTCATTTGTCACAGTTTTCTGCCATTTCCCATTTTGTTACCTTCAGATACGAAGGCTTTGAAAAAGAAACTCAACATGATAATTCAAAAACTAAAGTTTTTTATTCACGGCATTTATTTTTCCCCACTAGCAGCTTCAATTCTCAAATTTTCCCTCCAAAAATTTACTGTCCATAAATTTTTGTACCTTGCCTCTACGATAGATAGGAAAACCATATACTATACAACTAACAGCAAATACTTCAGCATAGCTCATCAGCAAGATAAGATTTTATTCTGCCCTTGAACTTACCATATTCATCTGGAGGGACTACCAATCCAAATGTATGGCCTGGGGGAACATTCATAGTTTCTGCCATGCTGTCAATAAGGACATTTCTTTGTTAACTGTCAAATAGTTTATTAATAGCCAAAATAAACCTCTGCTACCATTAAAAAAGTTATGTTATACAATTAGGGATAACCCACATAAATACATGTGATACACCTGAAATTTTTTTATCAGTACTTTGTTTTAAACTTACCATTACAGAAAAGCATCCCTTTATAAAGCTAATTAGAACATTAGCTGTTTGTAACATAACACAGCCAAATGTAAACACCAACCTCTTGGACATTTATGCTCATTAAAGGGAAAAATATTCTACGCTTTTTTTTTTTTTCTAAGACACTGATAGAAACATGAAAGAAAAGTCCTTATAACTTAGTCAAATAATAGGAAGGTTTAGGACAAGATCTCCAACTGGAATGTCTCTGAATAAACTACTTTTGGCTAAAGCAGAAAAACTGAATCACATCTCTGCTTTTCCACATGCAATTTTATGTTTACCAAAACCAGCAACCAAGTCAATATACATCCGGGAAACTTGGTCTACTATTATTTACCAGAAGTTGAAGATGCTGTTGGTGCCTTAAAGAATTGCTTATTTTTTAATTCGAAAAAGATGCAATGTTAATTTTATGTTTAATAATTAAAAAATTAAAACTGATACATTCATCAAAAGTCTCCATCAAAATTGAAAAGATAATCAGTGCTGTTCCAGCTGTTCCAGATCACCTCTGGTTTATGAAGCATTCTAATGAATTCAACTGAGATTGATAGGTGCTGCTGGATAATAACAAAATTTAGTTCCACATCCTTTTCCAAGGAAGTAATAAAGTGAGATTATAGGTGATGTAACAAAGATTACCAGAAATAGCATCAGAGTAAGTAAAATGGTCAAATCCCAGTACATTAGGTGAGACATTTCAATTCTTTCAAACCTTTCTAACTGTAAAAGATAGGGCAGGGGGGAATGTCTTACAGTGCTAGTAATCTGTTTAGTATAAATTTGTTCTTGGAAGGTATCTTTGCTTACTTACGGATCAAGGGCTTTTCCAAGCTGAGGTTGAAATTTTTCCTTGAAATCATCACTTCGTTTCAATACAAGGTTAGCTGCTCTCTTCCTACAAATTATGAAAATAACTCCTACACATATTTGTTTAAAAATATTCAAGAATTTTTCAATAATATTTTAAAATATTATTATATGTTTAAAGGGAACAGCAACTCCTCTGTAATACAAATACAAACTCAGTAATTGAAAAATTTTCCTATTTAAAATCAAAGGACTTTACATAATGCTTGAAACATGCCAAGTGCTGTTATACTATGGTAGAAGCGATTTGGATCAACAGTTCTGAAATCACACCTTGCATTTTCTGTTGAGTTCAGCACAGTTAAGTATGGGACTGTGAGATGCACAATTTCTTCAAATATGAAGACTCACTCTTCTTAAAACTTCACACTACTAGTTAACTCATTGCAACTTACGATTCCAGATCAAAGACCCAGTTTAAGGTCTTGGCTGTATTTCGCCCATCTTCAAAGTGAGGGGTTTCCATTCCATATACAAACGACTTGTTGAAGTGTGAGTTATACTTCCTATTGACTGCTTCCCCTGCAGAAGTAGTAAGCATGTCAACCTATATAAAACACCTCAAGAAGAAAAATATGCCAAGTACCTTCACTCTTCAGACAAAACAGTGAAGAAACAAAAGCAAATAAATAATAAACCTGTTCAATTAAAGATAATTTATGTTTATGTTTATTGAGTAGTTAGGAATAATCTCTTTGTCAAAAGTGAAGATAAAAGGCAAAATAAAAAGCAAAAACTACTTCAGTGGTAGAATAGTTGGATATTCTTTTAGGTCTGATTAAAGACAATCCCAATCGAATAAATGAAACCAGGTAGCCTACGTGGGGAGGGTCATGCAAACAAATCACTTTACGATGTGTGTACCTAAGCAGAGATGTGTTCTATTTGACTTACTGTTTGTTTTTTAAAAATGCAGAAATGGAAAAAGTGTTTTTGAAGTGCTGCACTTTCAGATATAGTCTTTTTGTCACAGAAAAAAACTGTCATTCTTTCTTCAAGGTTTTTTCAATCACTTTTAGAAAAGAACGGTGGTTAGAACTTTCAAAAATATAATTCACTGAATGCTTTCTAATAAGGGCTTAATCTGGCTGTATGGCAGCATAGAATTTTTATGTTATTGCTGGGGCACATAGTTGACTTTTTTTTTTCCTGTCTTTCTGTTTCTGGCTTGGCCTCTTCATGATCTTGTGCATGGAAGTTACAAAGGAGATAGAAACAGGTAATGAGTAATTCAACCAAAACACCCAAAAAAGGCAGGGTACAGAGGAAATAAAATTACAAGTTTGGCCAGTTTATACCAATACTACTTGTAGTAGAATTTCTCAGTGAGACAACGGTACTATAATTTCACCTCTACATAACTGTCTCCACACAAAATTTACACTATTACAACTGAAAGATCTGTATCGCGGTTTGTTACACGTTTGGTCTGCACCCACAAAACTCTGGCTACTAGCACGTGCAGCAACTTAATTATAATAGTAATCTTACAGAGCAGCAATTTAAGTCTTTCAGCCTAAGTGGAAATGATGGAACTGGGAAAAATAGAAGTGACTGCAGAATTAATAGATGTACTGCATTTTAGAGTCCTATTTGTCTCTCTCTTCCTCTGCAGACCTGTGAAATAAAGGGTAACCACCCCTGAACAGATCACGTCACACAAGTACAGCCCCCAGAGGCTGAAGCAGTGCAGGCACAGTCCACTGGAAGGGCAGAGACAGAGGCTGTGAGACAGATTCACAGGCAGGATCCTGTAGGCTGCATTCTAGAGAAACACCTAGCAGCCTGAAATTTTTGTAATTAGAGCTTGATGCTGTGCTCCTCATTAGAAAGTCTGGCTGATTTGAAATTCTGTTTGGATCCTGACAAAGGAGATGAACTAAAGGTGAAAGTACTGGAATGGGTTGGGCCCACAGTTTGTGACTTTAAGGCCAAGATTGCTTTCAGTGGCATAGACAGTGCCAAACTCAGTAGGTAACCAGGGCATCTATGAATTTCTAGTTAATGGGAAATATTCTGCTTTTCAAACAGCACCCAAAAAAAATCAGGCTTCCAACTCCTTCATTAAGCTCTTACACCACTTAAAATGCCCACCATGAAGTGATCTACAGTTTTAGATCATGTTCTCTCAGACACATATTTTTTCACATAATTACTTTTAAAAACAACTTATATTGTATTAGTACAGTGGAAAATTAATAGTTTACACCTCAAAACCAGCATACAGTTTGTGTTGAACACACGTAGAGGAATTTTTTATGGGATTTCTTATTAGTCTCGGAACTTACCCACATCATAAGCCTCATGTGACACAACATACAAATCATGCCCTTCTCTGGCTTCTTTATTCACTTCCTCAAAGGTTTTTGGTGGATTCACAAGCAATCCAGCTGGTATATCTGGAAAAGAATGTATGGTTGGGGGAGATAAGGGGAGTGGGTGTTTTGTTTGGTTAGCTCTCAGTTTTAAACAGTATCTTGTTAGAGAAGTTGCCATAACTGTGAAAGAACAATAGTTCTTACCACATTTCTAGGCAATCTATTGTCAATCTCAAGTTAATCTAACAACAAAATGATATAGGACCAGGGGGGAGGGAAATAAAAAAAATCACAGAAACCAAGATGGACATAAGTTTTGCAAGAGAGCTTCATGGGTAACACATATGTATGATTTCCTCCAGTCTAAGGAGAGAAGATGCACAGGTCAAGGAAGTTTCTTTCATTAGACCTATTAAAATTGTTGGGAAAAGGAAAGTAAGTTGACAGCTACCTAAATAGTTCTCCAGGGAAATCTATACGTAGGGAAGGAGGAACAGAGCCCAAGGTCCCACCAGTTACCATATGTTCTTGGTTTCTTGTTTCTTCACTATAACTGAAAAATACATTGTTAGGCCTTTCAATAACTGTTATAACAATTTTTCTGTTAAAATGGAATTGTTGGAAGCACAGACCATGTGCTAGATACTAAATTGCAGATTATCTTGTATTTACAAGAAATATGTTTTAATGGTAAATTTTCCTACCTTTGATGGTTTTTATTCCAAATGTAGTATTAATTATATCCAAGCCCTGAGGTAACATAGGAGATTGATCATGTGTTCTACCCAAACGTTCTTCACGACTACTATAGTAGATTGCTTCTTTCATGTCTTCTATCTTTTCTTGAAAAACAGTTTTAGGAATTGGACTTATCAATGAAGCTACCTAAAGACATCACAAACAACACAAGAGGCAGGAAAAACAGCAAAATTAGATCATTCACACATCGATATGACTACCCACACACATACACAAGAACAAAAGTTTGCTCATAAGTGTTCTAATGAGATCTTATATGGTTACACTGATATAATTTTATCCACCAAGCTGCAAATCAAAACAGTAGCTTGAGAGAAGGTCACTAATGATCAGTGCTATGCTAAATCTTCAGCTAAATAAAATACCTATTGTGAGACAGAACTTTTTTTTAATGCTAGTTTTTCCACTTGTTAATTTATACATTTTTCTGACTGAAACCATTCTTTTCTTAGCACATGTTAGAAACTAGAGTCAAATTATAGTATGACCAAAACTTAAGTGATTTGCTTTCTCAGGCTACCCATCAAAGTAATGGGGACTCTGGACAAGGTTTCTGATCAGACTCTCACTGAATGTTACATATAGAAATACTGAAAAAATTAGTAGCAAATACAATTGACCCAAACCCACACTTAGCAAACTCACTGGGGTTACAACTCTTCCTCCAATTAATATTTAATTAATAATGCGAAGTCTTCAACATACAGTACATGCTAAACAAATCAATCCATTCATCATAAAACTTATGAGGGACAGCAAAACCTGGTTGTCTTTAATTTTGGATATGCCTAATAAATGTCCTACTCAACACTCTCTAATGTCAGGCCCTACTTCCTTCATAAAAGTGCATTTTTACTAACATAACTGTTATTTTTAGATATGTGAACACTAACTACGTGATAAAATCACCAATGATTTCTTCAGTTGTTTGATTACAGATTACAAAAATAATCCTGAAGAATACACACAAAACAGTCTGACATGCCCAAACCATCACTTTTTAGCTATTAAAATCAGTGTCAACCCAGAGGTAAGAAGAAAAACATAATAGTTACACCAAACTATCAGCACATTCTCAGCACTTTTCTTGCTAAGAGCTCAAGTGTTTTTATCTCTGTAATCCATAAGAAGAAAGCAGTAAAATCTGTGGACAGGAGACTGTTCATTACCTTAATCGTAATATGAAATTAATAATTCAGTAGTCACTATGAAAGTTAAGCCACTGATAAAAGTCACTGGATTTCAAGTGTCTTCCAACTTCAATCATGCTAAATAAATCCTGATTTGACCCCAGAATTCAGGTAATTCACAACAGCTGTGAAATACTGCACTATAAATCATGCAGCTATGTACTTTTATCCCTGACTATGAAGAAATAAGTTCCTGTTATTAAGAACGCTCTTCAGTGATTCATTAAACAAAAGTAAGAGAGTCACATTCTTACACTGGATGAGGAACGTGACTTTATGCCATGTGTCAAGTGAGTTGCAATGTCGGGATCATTCGCTGTGCCGTAGAATATTACTTTAGCACCAGGAGCTGGATCTGTTGTATTTCGAAACTTCCGAACAGTAGTCGGGGTAATGGGCTATATATAAGGCAAAGCAAAACCAATTTTACTCCAGGTATTCGCAAAACATTAATGAAAAGAAAATGTACTGCAGACATTTCAGTGTGATTCCACAGAGGTAAGAACAAAATACAAGAATGCTTTAGGGCTTTAACACATGCATATGCTCCTGCAGATGCTGATATTATGAGTCTAAGGTCAACATAACCCAGCCCAAATTTTATCAAACCAGCGTTGCTAAGTTTCAGCTCTTGCCATCTTTAATTTGGGTAACTGCTACTTCACATGTTCTTCATGAAAAATAGATGCTACACTTATCAGTTGTAGAAACCTTTAACCAAATTCACAGCAACTCCACCATGAATGAAACAATTTTGAAAATCAGTTAAACCAGAGTCTGGGGTTGGTTTTTTTTTAATTATCACTTAAAGGGAGAACTGCATTTATGGGATCCGTTTTGTAGCCTCAGTACCCTGACTCTTCAGGGGCATGGGGAAGGACCAGTGGGAATCACAACTCTGAGGAGCATCCTTGTAAAGAAGGACCTCCATCAGAAGTCATAATAATTCCAATAATAATTACTACAATTGTGTTACCAGAGGAAAAAACTGTCTAAAACAATTCATTCAGTCCTGACTAAGCATACATGGTGACTTTTGTAAAACAGGTGGAGTGAAAAATATCTGCCAGAAGTGTTTTCAATCCTGTCAGCTATTCTTTATGATCCCACG